TCTTTTAGATTCAGAATATATTTACCCAACTAAGTATTCCACAATATTAACTCTGAACAGATTCAAGGTTTTAATATCCGTTATTTATTCAAGCAAGTGCCTGAACAATTGTCCATATCGTTAAGCCTAGTGGTGGGGGGTAAAAAGAAAAAAAAACCACTGGCATTTCTTAATTAAAAATATAGTTCCAAGATCAAAATCTAAGTTCATTATGAAACTATGGCGTCTTTTTTAATGTTGTTCTGCATTTGTCAACTTAAAATGCTGGTATTTTAATGCTTACTATATTTTAAAATAGTAGACAGATTATATCTTTTACCAGGTTGAATAAAATCTCCTATGAAAAATAAATACTGGATTTAAAAACCACATTTCTTAACCACAGAATACCCAAGTGAAGCTCTGGAAGACAGTTATGACAGGGTCTTGGTAAAAAGATTCCAAAAGCTCTTCCCAGCTCATACCATTTTCAAAGCATTTGTTACATGGGGCAAAATAGAATCTGATTTGTATTGTGATGTCCCCATCTTTAGTGGAATCATTAGAGTTCTACATAGATACTGTTATGTTCCATCTACTTCAGTAGGTAAAATGTTGGGATACCTGCTGACCAAAACCAGGCCATGGCTAAATCCTTCCTGCTTGTTTACAGATCTCTCTTTCCCACTGCATTTGAGCATGGATGTGTCTTGGAAATGAAAGAAAATTCTTTGGCTTTCTCTTGACTTTCTCACTACAGAAAGGGTATAATGAGCTGAGGATGCAAGGCACTTACATGTATCCTCCACCTATCTGCATTGTACATTTAGAATAAATCCTGTAGAAACTGGCCAGATGTTTTAAAGCTACTCTCTGAATGGGGACAGGGAGCACGAGATAGAGAAATCCAATTGCATAACTACATGAATTATAAACAGAAGTCTTTTGGAAGTGGCCCTACGATCTAATCTTTACACAAGGTAGAAATTATATTAAGATTTGTGGAGGCAAGTCCAATCTGGAGGGGTGAGTAATGGCAAAAACAATTCCTAATAATCATGTCACAGAAAGATTTCGCAATGCTTCAGAAGTTCTTGGGGGCAATACCCAGACATCTGAATAATGTCAGCGGCTGGGAGATTTCTGAGGAAAAGCTGGACTTCCTGCAGTAGGAAAAGATACATAAATATTGGACTATATACAGGTTAACATTTCTATCCCAGCTGTATGCATCTCTATTCACAGGTAAGAGCAATAATGTTCTGCAATAGGCTATGATGTGCTAATCAGAGTAACTGGGTCACTGAATATCTCTGACATAACTGTGTGTTTGTGTATGTGTGCTAGGTAAGACAAGGATTGGAGGAAAAACATTCTAACTAATGACAGAATTACAGATGCATGCTGTAAGAGGACTAGATTAAAATGGGCCACTGACTCTTGTTAAACTAAACCCCATACAGATAGTCCTCAACTTATGACCACAATTGGGACTGGAATTTTTGTCACTAAGTGATGTGGTCGTAAAGTGAGACATCATGTGACCACATCGCTTAGTCATGGCAATCCTGGTTGCTGTTGTTAACCAAGAATTGTGAGTGGTTAAGTGAGTACCCACTCCAATCCAAGCCATTCTGAGCTTGGTCCCTCCCAGCCCTGAGCCTCAGTAAGGTAAAGGACTGCCTCCAACTCCCCCCATCCACCTATCTCCCCCCTCATCTCTGCCTTTCTGGCCACCCTGCACCCTGTCTTACAGAGCAGCAAGCAGCCGCAGAACCATGTGGCTCTGGGGCTGCTTGCCACAGCCTGGGAAGCCACAGCTATTCCAGCCCAGTCCCAGATGCAGTTGCCCTCGCCACCTTGCACTCTAAACCCCTGCCACTCTATGCTCTGCCATCCCAGGTGACCTTCACTATGTTCTTGCTCCCGCTGCTGATGAGGCATGCCCAGCCTGGCTTTTTGTAGCTTTGTGCTACAAAAAAAAAAGTAAAAAGCAACCCCTGAGCCACAGCGCAAAGCAGCTTTTTGGTGCACCATTCTCTGGGGCTGCTTTTTACTTTTTTTTTTCATAGAATGAAGCCAGCCCCAGCCCGGTCTAGGAGTGTGACCCAAAGGGGCTTTTTGGGGTGCTGTGGCTCTGAAGCTGCTTTTTGCTCCCCCTCTGCAGTGCGAAGCCCAGCCCCAACCAGGCCTAGCAGCCAGGCCAGGCACACCTCATCAGCAGTGGGAACAAGACAGTGAAGGTCAACTGGGGCGGCGGAGTACAGAGTGGCAGGGCCAAAAGGGCATAGATGGGGGGAGATAGGTGGGTGGGGGAGTTGAAGAACCCCTGCAGTTATAAGTGTGGGCGGGCTGCAAAGTGCCCAATTTTGATCACATGACTATGGGGGCACTACAACAGCCATAACTTTTGGACACAGGTCGTAAGTTCCTCTGTTCAATGCCACCGTAACTTCGAACAGTCACTGAATAAATGGTCATAAGTTGAGGACTACCTGTTTTCTGCTGGGAGAGTATAGCTAATACAGACACTGAACACACATTTTGCTTCAGAGTTAAAGCGCAATGAAACCGAACACCCAAAACAAAGGAATGTGTCATTTCTTCTTCACCACCACCACCACCACAGCTCATTATATAAGGACAGAGAAAAACGAAGGATAAAAAGAAAGAACATCCTATTTACACAAGGGACTGTTTTGTTAGCAAGGCTTCCTGGTACTCCCTGGACATGTCTATCCTGAAATAGCCAAGTGCTGTATGTTGCATAATTAGGTATTTTCATGACTTCCTAAACTACATGGAGGACAGTTAAAACAACACACTCATCAGCTCTGCTCACATTGTGCCATCCTTTTCATCTATAACACTTGCCTTTCTGCATTGAAATCTCTATCAAATACCAGCCATTTTCATGATTTACTTTTATTTCAAAATTATTAACCTTCACTGCATGTACCCAAAAATGATTAATGGTCACTGTATGTACCTAAAACACATTTTCAAAGTTAACTAAGAGAATGTCATAATTAAAACAGTTTTTAAAGTTTAGCATGCCAATGATCTTTAAAGAGAAGGCAGTTCGTGATTACCATGGCAAGCATGAAATTCAGAAATTCAGATTAAGCTGTCTGTTTTGCCTTAGAATTGTTGTGAGTTTTCCAGCAAGCTTTGCAACTATCCTTCATCAACAAATCTATGACTCTGTAGTTTCCAAGGTATCACAGCTTTTGTTTTCCTACTGCCAAGATTAAAATGGCTACCGCTGGGAAACAGTACAAGAGAGACTTAGATTGAGATGCTTAAGAAAGATAGTACAGAAGCCACCCATATGTCTTTCAGAAAGAATCATGAATGCTGAAAGCCTTTGAAGTCTTTGAGTCTAAGTGATATCTCAGACTGAGCCACCTTTTCAGTCAGCTACGACTTTAATTCAGAGCAAATAATTAAACCTGATGTTATAATGAATAGAAGTGGAGAGACGAGCCCTGGATACAAAGCAATCCTGACAGATGAAAAGGTGAGGACTACAGTCAGAAGAACTAGAGAGCAGCTTTAGAAAGGGGTGGCAATAAATACTGAATTTAGGAATATTCACTTTTGAAATTCTAGCTAACAGCTCTGTATACTCTGGAAAGTAATACAATCTTCTGCATTCTGATTTCACAGGTTAAGAAATCAGCAGCCAGCAGCAAGATTATCTTGTGTGACAGCTGAAATGTCAAACTGCACTATGCTGCTATAATAGTCTTGCAACAATTAGGAGCACAGGATTTTGCCACCCCTACAGTTAAAGCTACCTTATAACACAATGGTACATGCACACACAAGGCTAGTACGTTTCTATGAGCTGGAAAATACTTTGCGCGCATCTGAATAACTGGGTTACTTATATGACTGCTACTTTCCAGTATACACTGCAACAGTTTAATTGGTTGGCTTGTTTCAATAAAATTAAAAAATGGCTTGTGTTCCAATGTATTAGGCTTAGCTGTTTGTTTTTAAAATGAAGTTTGAAAGACAGAACAAACTGAACAACATACAATAAGAACATATCTTAGACAATAACACAACTTACTCATTTTGCAGTTGGCTAAAAGTATCAAGTCAGATTAAGTATCAAATGGCAGAAGTGAAAAGGGCTTTGTTTACTAGCCTCATTTGCAGCAATAAATTTAACAGATCACACAATGCCCAATTTTATTAACATCAAGGTACTTCCTAATTCTGCAAAATTAATGGTAACAAAAGTAAGTTTCTTCTTTGGATATCTTACAAAGCATTTACGTTAGTGACTGATAGTTGAATGCAAGAGAAAGCAGCAGGAATAGATCGCTAGGAAGTCCTAAGTGTAGTGTATGTAACAAATATAGATCTTTACCATTACTGCATTAATCTCAATTGGAAAAGCTGTAAGAGTATACACTGATTCTATTAAATGTTACAATTTAATTACCAGTTCTATTAAGTGTCTGTACCATTGGATGGCAAATCAGACTAAATTAGAATGGCAAGATTCTTCCAAAATTAGTTTCTGACTTCTATGTTTTTGTTGCCAGTCATCCATTTTCTACTGAAACAGATCCTAACCAGAAAGAATTCTATCTTCTTCTGCAATTTCCCACCAATCTACAACATGAGCAGTTCCCAGTCTTTTCCTTTATGCAGGCTACTACATCATATTCAGAGTTTTTGAGGACCATCAGATAAGCCACGAGATAGCAGCTTAGCCCCTGCAGGCACCATGGCACACATTTTCCCCATCAGACATGCATCCACAAATTAAATAATACATAATAACATGATTTATTGCTGTATTTGTCTTACTGAATATTAGGATAATTTTAATAAATATAATTGATTTAATTACATTTAAAATCTCATGAGATTTGGCAATCTCACAAGGCTCCGATGGTAGAAAACCTATTTATTTATGGCACCATCACATCAGAGGCTACCTTCAGTATCCTCCTTGGACCACATGTTTGGAACCATGGCTATATAATTCCCAAAAATCTCACCTCCAGTTCCTGCTCCCTCTGCAGGGCAAACTGTTTGAAAGACTTGACAATAAGGCCAGCATTTGAGCAATCATACACAAAAATGGAGGGGCTGCCCATCCACGTTTGTAGGTCATATATGGATAACGGGATATATTGAGTGTAGTTCTGTAAAAGAAAGAATAAAAAAGAGTTTAAGTTATAAGTACAGTGAGCAAGCAGCCATGATACATATTTTACCTAGGAATCAATACTGTATTTCTTTATGTCACGTTTTAATTAAAACCAATCTAATTCATACTTCCTGAAACAAGGTATGAATAAAAGAATTCTTACATACCAAAGTTTGTTTGTTTGAATGTATGTATATGTGTGTGTGGGTGTATGCAAATTATGTATGAAAAAGGAGGGAGCAGGAAAAGATAAATCTGTATTTAAAATGCAAATGTTATGGGAAATCATCCATTCCTACTTTCACATCCAATTACAGAAGTGCTCAGGAAAGAGTTACTATGTTCAAGATGCTCCTACAGCTCATTAAGCATTCTAAATATAAGGAAAATAAGTGGTGGCATCACTTGGGCCATCATGCTACTTCTGATACTGGAGGTATATACAGCTATAATGACTAGTAATTATAAATAGCCTATTTTTATATATATATTTCTCTAAGACCCACTAAATAAATTCACATTCAAATGTTCCTCCAGGAATACACATTTCTTGAATTATAGCAACATACTCTTTCCAGAATGACAGTTTATCTCAAGATTCATTAAATTATTGGGAAATCAGTGTACAAAGCCACAAAAGAGTATTGGAATAGTTCACCAGAAAGGTCCTCATACAGCAAAAAATGCAGATTGTACAAGAATATTCCATTTATACAAGCCCCATTCAAGTAGGTTTTCTAAATATGCCTAATAGATTATATTTTTTCAAATTAATTATTAGGTTTTCCTTGAAGAAGAAAAATGAGGATAAATTGTGATCCTTAGGCAATAAAAGAAACAACACTGAAACCACTTCTGACATGAATCTTACATGTTTTCCAAGTTGCTTAAACTTATCAGATAATAGATATTTGTAATAAAATACAAACTTCTAATTGTTTAAGCGTGAGAAAAATATGTGCTTTACACTTTAACTTAATTTATAAATTATGTGCAGTAATATGCTACAGAGCTGTATATCTTACAAGAACAAGCAGGAAAAAATAGCATCTTTGTCACATTATTCAGGTTTTTCTTTCCAAATAGTGCATTCTTTTTCTCTGACTCATAATGCACCAGCGTTCAAAGAGTTACTGAAAACCAAAAGAATAATTCTGAAATCCCCCCTGAAAATGTGTGATTTTAAAGAATTATAATATATGCAGGAAATCATTGGGAAAGGGAGAAGTTTGGAGAATGTCCATCCTTTATTAGTGTCCATTAGTGTCTCATTAGTCATATCCCTTTGTTTGTTAAGCTGTGAAACAAAATGAAGGCACTTCAAAACCTTCAAAGGGATGCCTGTAAGAGAATATCAGACAGCTGCAACACTGATGAATAGAGGGAAAATCATGTTACTTAATATTTTCTATTCCCCCTTTGAGATACTGCTATGAGGTAGGGCGCCTCCCCCAAGAAAGACAAACAGAAAGACAGGCAAAAAGACAGAAAGAAAGAAGAAGGGAAAAGGTTCCTCTACCATTCTTCTCTCATTGCCCTCTCAATGCCACCACAAACTGGGCACACAGAGAAATATAACTGCAATTGCCTCTTTTCCTCATGCTAAATAAACAGAGGAAAAGCAGAAGATGGTTACATAACAAATGAGCTGGGGCATAATTTCCTATTAAGAATGAATGGCAGTGATACTCAGAAAGACCTGGCAATAATCAATTCATGACAGGATCATCTCTATTAAAATTAAGGAACATCCAGTAAAATTATACGCATGTATGCACGTAATATAAACATGAAGGAGAAAGACATTAAAAACTGGCTGATTGCAAGGGTAATGCTAGATGCAATATCAAAAAAAGGATATAGCACTACAGACGCAGGGGTATTGAGGGGGTTCAACAGTGTCAAAATGGTGAGTATGACCATGGAAATTGAAGCCCCACTCTTTTTATCTATGCATCCAATGCATGTGACACACATTAAAAAGGGGCAGGGTTTTGACCACCCAGTTGCAACTCCATTCTGATACTGCTGACATCACCATACCATCCCCACCCACCCCCACAGATACCTCTGTGATGAGTGGTTGGAATGCAAAAGTTGGAGCAATGGAAGAACCTAGAATCACAGAAACATTTGGGTTTGGTAAACACAATGATGCTGGAGGTAGAGTACAGGTAAACCTCATATGACAATCTCCAGTAACCATTCAAAGTAAAGATGGCGCTGAATTAGACTTAAGACCGGTCCTTGTAGTTGCAGCTATCTCGGTGATCGTAATTTGGATACTTGGTGACTGGCTCTCAATTACGACAGTTGCAGCATCCTGCGGTCATGTGATTGCCATTTGCAACCTTCCCTGCCAGCTTCCGACAAGCAAAGTCAACAGGGAAGCCGGCAGGAGGTTGGAAATGGCGATCATGTGATGTTGCACCTAACAACTGTGTGGGATTCCCTTAACAATGGCAGCCAGAACTGCAAAAACTGTTGTCGTAAGTTGGCACAATCACAGGATGTCGCGCTTTATGACCACATTGCTTAGCAATGAAGTTGCCGGTCCCAATTACTGTCATTAAGTGAGGACTGCTTGTAATATAATTTTTCATTGCCAGCACCTGTTTCAAGCTGTATATGGACATTACCAGATGGGCAACATTAAAATCACATAGATTTTACAATAGGAAATGGAGCTAGGATACTTCCAGGTGCAGACAGTACAACAAATCATGAATTACTGGTATCAAATATACAAGTTGACCTAAAAAGTGAAAGAACGTAATCCTCATTTAACAAAGAAAGTAGGTCTGGTAGCAAGATATGATCTCAAGAACATAAACTCAAAATATAAAATCAATGTAGGGAATACCTTCATTATGCTTAACTTACTCAGCAATGAACCTGAAGGTCTATGGGAAGAAATAAGAGACATTGTGAACACATTTCAAAACAGAAAAGATCCATTTAGCTTTTAGAACAAGCCAGCATGCTAGCCATGGAAAAAAGGAAGATGAAAACCTTTGGCAATACTGCAATGACTGAACACAGACTTACAATTTCAAGCAAGGACAAGGAAAGAGATCTCAATAACAAGAATAAGAATATAATAATAAAACAAGAAAAAGATATATTTTTAAGACCAGAAAAATCACAGACAAATTTGCAGCTCATGTAGGAGTACTCAAGGATTAACATGGAACAGGATAAATGAAGTTAAAAGGAGATAATTATAAGTTGTTATAGAGTTGGACAGCTTTATAAATTTAATAAAATAAAATATAAAATGGAAACACTATGCTGAAACCAGCCACAAACAGGATTATTCAATAATTGAAATCTTTGTAGACAGAACATAAATTCAAGAACCAACTGCACTAAAAAGTATGGTACCAAAGGCAATAGACCAGCTATTAAATAAGAAATTTATTAAATACCACCAAACTCTTTAACCAATCCTTCTTCAGCAACTTTAAAGTGCTAACATGTCTGAAGCAACAAATATGGAACAAAGAGATTGAAAAAGGTCAATTATATACCTACAGTAAAGAAACGAGATGCAAGAGAATGGACAAATTGAACTACTGAACTTATTCTTTATGCAAGCAAAGTTTTCCTAAGATCTTTCAAAGACAAACAGAGTCCAAGAAGGAAATGCTGAATGAACAGGCAGGTTTTAGAAAAGACAGCGAGACATGAAATCAGATAATTAATATAAGACAGATAATGAACAGAGCAACAGAACATAAAAAGGAAATATACTGTAAATGTCCCACTAACTACTGCAAGGTCTTTGTGTGTGGGTGGGTGGTTGTGCCTACAAGTTAGTGTTGACTCCTGGCAACTGCCTGGACAAGTCCCTGCAGTTTTCTTGGCAAGATTTCTGTGTAGATCATGCCATATTAATAATAATAATAATTTATCAAATTTATATGCCTCCCAACTCCCAGCGACTCATATTGCCGTTCATAGGTATTTCAAACATAGCAATGGTGGTAGTAATAATAAACACCTTTGCAGAGAAGAAAAGGCTACTTCAAGAACTGAATTTAGAGAAATGGAATGGTTTAGAGTAAAGAAGATATCTGTTTAACTTATCCAGCAAATATAAGAATGACAGTACTGGAACATTAACAATTTGAGATATGCAGATATGCAGGTATCACCACTTTTTAATTCAAAAATAAAGCAGATGTAGAAAAACTAATTCTGAAAGTAAAACTGGAAAATAAAAAATCTGGCTTAATGTTAAATATTAAGAAGATAATGTTACTTTAATTGCATGCTTAGCAAGTCTACAGCTGAAGCTGAAGAAGTAAACCACTTTCCTTCCTTGGATTCAAGAGCAGATAATTATGGACACTATGTTGAAGAAGTAAAGAGATTAATCTTAAGGAGGAGTAATGAATTTAGCCCAGATCATGAAAGAGACAGATATATCTATTACAGCAAAGATAAAAATAGTTAAAGCAACAATTCCTCCAGTAGCAATGTCCAAGCTAGACATTGAGAAAGAGCAAGGAAAAGTAGATGCCTTCAGCTGATCTCAGGACAGTTACTAAGAGTAACAAAGATGCAAGAAGACCTAGCCAAACAGTCCTGGACCAAATAAAGACCTACTGTTGCCTTGAGGTAATCACCAGCAAGCAGAAACTCACATTCTTTGGACAGGAGCAGGTGACTAATGATTATGTTTGGCAAGACAAAAGAAAAAGATGACAACAGCCAACGATGGATGAGGTCAAAGAGATTACTGGAATGTCCTTGGAAGAACTACGAATTGTTGCTGAGGACAGATCAGGATGGCAAGCCTTTGTCTGTGAAGTCACCAAGAGTCATGCCTGACACCTAAACCAAATTAAGAGAAATACGCTGTAGTTTGTTTATTTTTTATTTATTTAGATGCTCTTTATCTCTCCAGCTACACTGAAAATCAAAGCAATACTGTAGGCTGGTTGCATACAGCAGCTTTGAAAGTGCCACAAAGATGACTGTACCACAATATGTG